TCAAGCCTTGCCGGCTAGAACCATAGCATAATATCCATGTAGTCTTTTTAATTCTTTGATCACCTTCTATGTAGTGAAAACGGAAGGATAGAGGGTTCGGATATTGCCTTTAAAATTTTTTATACGATTTTTCAATATATTTCTAAAACATTTAACCCATTCCGACAAAGTGTTCAGGTCTTCCTTTTCATATTTAGCCCAACGTCTGGCATAATCCTAGACAGAATTCATAATAGAATTGAAATTCTGTGCCAATTAAAAGATCGGGGCTTCCTGTATTTAAGACCTTTTAAGATGATTGCTTTAAGGTCTTCATTTTCAACTATATTGACATCACCAGTAATGGCGTGTCTAACGGAACTGTAGTTGAAAAAAGAAGAAGAGCAACAGCACTTGAAGGGATTTTGTTTTAGATGTTCAATATCTAGGCACTGTAAGGTTTGTTTATATTTGAAAAGTTTAGAAACAATAGTTTGGGGAGATCTGTAGGAAATGCGGGGTTTAGACTTCAACTTGAAATATGGTGGAATACAAGACTGAACTTTTTTTATGATTAAGAATATTACTAATATTCACAGCATCTTTTTCTTTTGTTGGCAAATTTAAGTTTAAGGAACCGACGGGCTGAGTCAGAATTAACTTCCGACACACGTGCATGGTGTCCATTTTTATGACTTTTTTCGGACAACCCCGCCTTCAGATGAACATTCTTTAAATATCCAGCCGTCGAAATGATATATAAATTTTCATCAACTTTTGAAAATTGATCTGATTTTTGTGTATTTTGCTTTAAACATTCAATTTAACACATTTCTGACCATGGACCCGTTTTTTTAAATCAGTTATTTATTGTTCGCCACATAATAGAACCGTCTCTCACGAACCAATTCAAATATGCTATCTATAGCTGTTGCCCAACGTGAAGAATCTTTAATTTTGGTCGTGAGGCATTTTCTGGTACGGCTGAGGAAGGATTAAGAAAATAACTAAAATTGTTAATGATAAAGCGTGGTCAATATATCTAAATTACGAATTGAAGCCACAGAAAGATTTTAAATTCTGCTTCAGGTGAATATTTACATGTAAATAACTTGCCAAATAAAGGAGCACAATCAGTTCCCATTTTACAAAAATTGGTGGAAGACCTGATCGCTAAAGACATCATAGATATTTTGAATCAGGAATTCATTTTTTTTTTAAATATCAACTTCAGAATACTTGATTGTAGAGTCAAAATGATTTTTATCAAAGACATTTCGTAGAGGACCAATCACAAGACGTCTCACTTTTATTCAAGGAGCAGTTGTCTCCAGTATCAGAAAACCTGGTCTTAAGTTTATCGTAAGGAATGGTTGTATTACGTTTAGAAATATCTAAGTTTTGATGTTATCAACTAGTGAAATATTGTGTGTTTTCAAAATTTCAAAAAATATTAGTTTCCATACTTTATTTACTGAAATCTGTTGATATGTTGTAACTCAGTTCAACTGAAGTTTCTATTTACAACATTTAACATGTTTGTGGAGGGGTTTGGTTGAACATTTCCGTTACCGTGCTATTTCTCTTTGGTTTTGTTTGTTTGTATGTTGTTTAACGTCCCTCACGAGAATTTTTCACTCATATGGAGACGTCACCACTTGCCGGTGGAGAGCTGCAAATTTTGTCCTATACTCGGCACTTACGGCCATTGAGCAGTGAGGGATCTTTTTCGTGCCAGCACCTACTGCCACACGGGACCTCGGTTTATACGGTCTCATCCGAAGGACCGGTCTCCACGTCCCACATTGGGATTCGAACCCGCGACGTAAGGATCAACTCCTTACTTCGCGACTCTAGAGCAGACGCTCTAACCACTGCGCCACGCGGGCGACTTCTCTTTGGTAACAAGGACGTTTAGTCAGTTGTGGAATTAGGTAGGTACGGAAAATTGAATTCAGCTCATTTGACGTAAATGTTGAAAGTATTTAAAACTGAATAGTGATTTTGAAGACATTTCATCCTTTTTGCAAGAAAACTCTGAGTAAAAATTTGATTACCGGATTTGAAATTTCTACATTCTTAGATTCCATCGGGCTGAAAGTGTATTTATCTGATCTGAACCCATTAAGTCTTTTCAGCTTTTAATTATTTGTGATAGCCTGAAGAGCTTATGTCATAGTAAGATGTCAGTTCTACCAAAAATCTGGGGAAAAATCATAGCCATCAGACACATAGTTCAGGCTCCAGGGTGGGGCTAAGTTGGCCATACATTGAAAATACATTACAACATTGAAACTCTTCTCCTCTATTGAAATACATTATTAATTTATTTATTGCGCATTTATATGGCGCTTAATATAATAACAAAATTACTCTAAAGTGCCATTGTTCACGATTAAAACATTTTACAGGATTAAAAAGTTTTAATCAGACAAGTTAATTATTTCAGTTTCATTTGAAAACGCCGACTGATATTTCAAAGCGTAAATCCAGAGGGAGGTTATTCCATAAAGTCGCTGCCGACACACCAAAACGTCTGTCCCGGTATAAGGCACTTCTGTACAGAGTCAGAACACTCGTAAAATTGAAAAAAAATCAGGAAGGAGCTTTAAGATTTATCTATGAAGATTATAAAAGCTCATATGAAAGTCTATTACATAAATCTAAACTACCATCTCTGAAAACTAGAAGAATGCGTGCCATTGCTCTACAAACTTTTAGAATTATCTAAGGTTTAAGCCCTGTCTTTTTGCAAGACCTAGTTTTTTTTAAAAACAATTCGTACAATTTTAGATAAACAAATACTGCAGAGGTCCCAAGACCAAGAACAACAAGGTATGGAATGGAATCATTTAAGTGCTCTGCAACTTTCTGCCAAATGAAGTCAGGAAATTCTCCTCTTACAATCAATTTTAAAACTACATTTCATCTTGGTGTGGAGAACTAAATCGTAAATATAGTTCCTGAAGATCCAGACTTTTATGCCTCATACATAATGTTCCCCCTTTGTTGCTTACTGTTTGCTAGTTTGAATTTATGATTTTACTATTTTAGAGCTGTCTTAACCCCTTTTCTTTTATTTTATGTGTGCATGATTTTTGTTGTACAATGTATATATAGATGTGTGTGTGTGTTTTCTTATTTAAAATATGTAGTGTCTTTTATGTCTTCTTTTATGTGTGTTTACCAGTGTCTTTTGTTCCATTCTTGTGTTTTTGTGTGCTTCCGTCTGCGTGAAAATTAAGTATGTATTCTATTATATGTATATATATACATTTCATTTGTGCTAAATGTGTTTCAAGCTCATGTTTTTGTTAAATGTATGTAGTCCGACTATAAATAAAATTTACTTACTTACTTATTAAAGTGTAAGGTAATTTTCTATTATTGGATATTCAAAATTAGCACCATTGGAACATAAATTGAAATGGAAATATGCTCTTTAAAAACAATAGTGTGCCATGACAACTAAAATTTATCTCTGTTGGAAGTGCTGGAAAATGTTAAGCTATTTTGCAGGACAAAGATATCTATGCCGAGATAGGTGTCATGCACTATGGCTTTGGGAATCTCAAGATAGAATGAAAGTTTACCTGTGATTTGCTTGGTTAAGTTTCAATCATAATACCATGGGATTTCTGAGAATATATATATATATATATATATATATTAATCCAAGATAAACAAACAAGTTTACATTTAATACACTTAGCGCTTTCGCCGTGCGGCTCTTCAGAGTGTAACAAAGTTTAACGTATGGTAACAATGAAGAAACAAACTTTGTTGTGCTCTGAAGAGCCGCACGGCTTTTTCATCATGTAAGTGATAATTTTTGTTTCATACAGTTTAAAAGAGGAAGCCTTTGTATGAAGAGTCACTTGTCCAACCCTAATAAATGCCCAAAACCTACCTACCCCACTATATGTTAAACCGGTCCCACCCTGATGATTAATATTGCCTGGTCCCGTGCATTACCTTTTGACTCTTCCTCTGCATGATAAATCTTTTCTCTAATATTTCAGTTTTATTTTCATTTTGAAAATTTGAATTTGATTCTAATTATATGACAGGAGTTACCCAGCATATTAAATGCTATGTTGCACATTCCCAAAAACGTGAAAAATGCTCGTTTGTTTCCTTGAGAAGGCAGAAAAGATAATTTGAATTGCTCATGATTGCAAAACTAGTGTAGCTAACAAGATATAGAATTTTGCGTCATTATGAAAAGAATTCACTGAAAAAATTTTGACTCAAGGTAGTCTTTAAAGAAATAACTTTATATTATTTATTCTGTTATTTTATTATTATTTTTTTTTTTGGTATATTTCTTGGTATGGACCCCTTTTCATCATGTTTTACACCATACCCCTGAAAGAAATTGTGAAATTTTATGATTGTGGTTTTGTACAAATCACATTTGTAGCTGTTGGTTTTTATTTATTGATTATTTTGCATCAACCAGAATTTTAATTCATGCACATCCAATAATCGCCTTGCAATCCTGGGGACATTATTGTAGTCGGTATGCTTTTTGTGATGGAGAAGAAATTTTTCAATATACATCAAGTATTTTAGCACAGAGGAATAAGGGTAAGGATTTCTCATTTCCAATTATTTTCAGGAGAAACAAATTACTTTGTAATCAAATGCTTCAAAGCAAAATCGATTATTCATATGAGATCTGGTTTGGCTAAATAAGCAATACATCCTATTGCTATTAATAGAAATTGGACTTTACATTGGAGAAACAATATGGAGTCAACCTGGCAGGAAACCATGTAAGAATTGCAAGATAAATAACAAAAAGTATTCTTATATTTGATTTATATATATAACGATCCCTTTGAAAATTGATTTTTAAAAAAATAGTTTCTTGAATATCTTTCAACAGATCTACAGGGATACAACATATGTCAGAAGCTGTATTTGCATGTTTATGTCGAAAAGTGGGGACGTCATCTATTGTTGCTATGAGACGGGATATTATAGATATTGTTGAAATCCTTTATAATCAAATCGAAATGACTAAAAATAATGTTACAATGCCAAGTGGAAGTTTCGGAGAAGGTTTCAGACTGGAAGGATCGGATATGGACTGGATGATGTGGTCGAAGCAGCACCGAGTGATCTGGAATTTATCTCAAATTCATCATCAGTATCATCACTCACATGTTCCAACACATATTCTTGCTGACTGTTCTGAAAGTCCACCTGGATACGCTTTACTTCATTTACATATATCAACAGCTGATGAAGCTCTCATTAAGGCCTGTATCAGATTGAATGGCAAACGCTATATATCCAGTTCTATCCACAGACAGAGGCAACATTTAGCATATGGAATTGATTCTAAAATACACGGACCTTGCGTCAGCGTAAATACGGGACTCCACGAATTTGACGATGCTCATTGTTTTTTCAGTGACATTTGGCCTCCTTCTGCATCTTCATGGGTGGAGAGGTGTCAATTCTGGCCTCCATCGCATATTGTAAAAAATATAGTCAAAGGAGGTTGTCACTTTGTAGCAATAGGACACAAACAAGGAAAACATGAGGACAGCGAATGGAGAATTTCCTTCTCTTTAGCCGAAAAAAAATTTGTGTACTCTATGAATCACTGTCAGTTCTTAACTTATGGTTTGTTGAAGATTTTTCTTAATGAGGTTATCAATAACACTCCTGATGAAGACAAATTACTGTGTTCCTATCATGTGAAGACATCCGTGTTTTGGGCAATTCAAAGCAATACCATCCCCTGTTTGTGTCCTCAAAATTTTCTAGAGGGTTTCTGGATCTGTTTTAAACTCATCCTAAAATGGGTCTATGAAGGTTATTGCCCAAACTTCTTTATTCCATATAATAACATGTTTCTTACTAAAGTATTTGGGACAAAACAGAAGAAATTGTTCTTCAGACTACATGCATTGTATGAAAAGGGATTAACTTGTCTGCTAGAAAGTCCCACCATAAAGTCAGACATATTGACCGTTCTCTATAACCCCTATCTCACTATGTGTACAGATGAAAACATTCTGGTCTCTAAGGATGATTTTATTAGGCAGATGTTCGGTGAGATGTTTGAAAATGATGCAATGTATCATCCTAATCTGTCAACCTGTGTGAAAGTCCTACACTTAGTAGAACAGTTCATAGGATCACCCTTGAAACAATGTCAAGTTTTAATGTTGCAAAATATAACAGTTCGTCTTCTTCAGAACACTGCTTTTAGGTACAGCGATTTTAAAATTTCACAATATTCAAAATCGAATGTAGATAGAGGAGTCAACAAACTGATTTACTTAGTTGACAGAATGTCCCTTTACATGCTAAAATTAGCCACAAAGTTTGGATATATTTCCGACATGTTATATCTTGTTATATATTATTATAAAAGAAGGAGATATTACGAAGCTTCATCTGTTTTAAAACAGATACAAGTAAAAATAGCACAGCCAAAGCGGTACAGTAAGGCCGCTGGGGAAGATGCCTGGGCCATAAAAATGAGAGAATCGGTGGTTAGTCACGTCAGACTTTGCAAGGATATCTCATATATGAGTGAATTAATGATTGAGCAAATTTTTAGTTTGAAATACAATGAACTATATTTACGCATACCATCTTTGGTACTGTTTTGCATGTTGGAGTATTTGTGTTATCGCCATGTTGAAACAAACAATTCAAAAGAAGCTCTTAACATTCTACAGTTCCTGATCCACCAATTCCAGGGAAAGTTTATAGATGAAGATAGCAGAGACATCTCATGGCAAATTCTTGGAATATGTCAGAAAATCTCAGGAGACTACCAAGCTGCTTTGAATTCATTTCAACAATCTCTCACAGTAGATCCATATCACAAAATTCAAACTGCTACAGAGGTAAGGATGCGGGATATGCTATAGTACATGTAGAAGGATCCAACAGAAAAATGAGAATCTGAAGGGGGAAAAAAAACAAGTTCACTTTACATGAAAATTTTAATTTTTCCTTTAAACACGTCAAGAAGATATTGAACTTACTGATCTAGTCAATTCAACGGGAAAATACTTCGGTTGATTTCTCTGCATAATATATATTTGTATTTGAATTTTTTTGTGACGTTTTGCAGGAAATTGCATATTACATGTTGTTTAACAGGCCCAATGAATTTTCTTTTATAATACGAATAATTTTTTTTTTAAAAATCTAAAAACAAACATATGAATGTTCTCATATCCTTTTTTACTTTTATTTTTGATACATGTATAGACTAAATTATCAACACAAAGGCACTGTACCAAAGGTGGTATAAACTGTTACTTTATACTTATTGATTATTTTGCATCAACAAGAATCTTATTTCATACACATCCAATGAGCGCCTCACAATGCCAGGGACATAAATGTAACCGGTATGTTTAATGTGATAGAGGAGAAAGGTCTCTAAGCAGCATACATCAAATATTTTAGTATATACATGTAGAAATAAAGGTAGGAAGGTAAGAGTTACTTATTTTTAATAACTTTCATGACAAACAAGACACATAGTTATTATAAATGCTTCAAAGCAAAATCGATTATTCAAATGAGGTCTTCTTTGGCTCAATAAGCAATATCCTATTGCTATTAATAGAAATTAGACTTTACATTGGAGAAACAAGATGGAGTCGAGCTGGCAGGAATATGTACCAATGTAAGAAATGTTCCATTCATAACATTCATAAAAACTATTTGATCAAATTACGTGTATATAATGCACTTAGTTAATTTACATATTTACAAAAATTCCTTTTCAAAATGAATTTGAAGGAATATTGATTTTCTTTAATATCTTCAACCAGATCTACAGGGATACAACATATGTCAGAAGCTGTATTTGCATGTTTATGTCGAAAAGTGGGGACGTCATCTATTGTTGCTATGAGACGGGATATTATAGATATTGTTGAAATCCTTTATAATCAAATTGAAATGATTAAAAATAATGTTACAATGGCAAGTGGAAGTTTTGTAGAGGGTTTCAGACTGGAAGGATCGGATAGGGACTGGATGAAGTGCTCGAAGCAGCACAGTGATCTGGAATTTATCTCAAATTCATCATCAGTATCATTACTTACACGTACCAACACATATTCTTGCTGACTGTTCTGAAAATCCACCTGGATACACTTTACTTCATTTACCTATATCAACAGCTGATGAAGCTCTCATTAAGGCCTGTATCAGATTGAATGGCAAACGCTATATATCCAGTTCAATCCACAGACAGAGGAAAAGTGTGGGATATGGAACTGATACTAAAATACACGGACCTTGCGTCAGCGTAAATACGGGACTTCACTAATTTGACGATGCTCATTGTTTTTTTCAGTGACATTTGGCCTCCTTCTGCATCATCATGGGTGGAGAGGTGTCAATTCTGGCCTCCATCGCATATTGTAAAAAATATAGTCAAAGGAGGTTGTCACTTTGTAGCAATAGGACACAGACAAGGAAAACATGAGGACAGCGAATGGAGAATTTCCTTCTCTTTAGCCGAAAAAAAATTGTGTACTCTATGAATCACTGTCAGTTCTTAACTTATGGTTTGTTGAAGATTTTTCTTAATGAGGTTATCAATAACACTCCTGATGAAGACAAATTACTGTGTTCCTATCATGTGAAGACATCCGTGTTTTGGGTAATTCAAAGCAATACCATCCCCTGTTTGTGTCCTCAAAATTTTCTAGAGGGTTTCTGGATCTGTTTTAATCTCATCCTAAAATGGGTCTATGAAGGTTATTGCCCAAACTTCTTTATTCCATATATGTTACTAAAGTTTTTGGGACAAAACAGAAGGAATTGTTCCTCAGACTACATGCATTGTATGAAAAGGGATTAACTTGTCTGCTAGAAAGTCCCCCATAAAGTCAGACATATTGACCGTTTTCTATAACCCCAATCTCCCGATTTGTACAGATGAAAGCATTTTGGTCTCTAATGATGAGTTTATTAGGCAGATGTTCGGTGAGATGTTTGAAAATGTCTACCTCTGTCAACCTCTGTGGAAGTCCTACACTTAGTAGAAGAGCTCAAAGGATCACTCTTGAAACAATGTCAAGTTTTAATGTTGCAAACAATAACCGTTCCTCTTCTTTAGAACACTGCTTTTAGGTATAACGATTTTAAAATTTCACAATATTCAAAATCGAATGTAGATAGAGGAGTCAACAAACTGATTTACTTAGTTGACAGAATGTCCCTTTACATGCTAAAATTAGCCACAAAGTTTGGACATATTTCCGACATGTTGTGTCTTGTTATGTATTATTATAAAACAAGGAGATATTACGAAGCTTCATCTGTTTTAAAACAGATACAAGTAAAAATAGCACAGCCAAAGCGGTACAGTAAGGCCGCTGGGGAAGATTCCAGGGCCATAGAAATGAGAGAATCGGTGGTTAGTCACGTCAGACTTTACAAGGATATCTCATATATGAGTGAATTAATGATTGAGCAAAATTACAGCTTGCAAAACGAACTATATTTACGCATCCCACCTTTGGTATTGTTTTGCATGTTGGAATATTTGTGCTATCGCCATGTTGACACAAACAGTTCAAAAGCAGCTCTAAATATTCTACAGGTCCTGATCCACCAATTCCAGGGAAAGTTTATAGATGAAGATAGCAGAGACATCTCATGGCAAATTCTTGGAATATGTCAGCAAATCTCAGGAGATTACCAAGCTGATTTGTATTCATTTCAACAATCTCTCACAGTAGACCCATATCACAGGATTCAAACTGCTACAGAGTTACGGATACAGGATGCTAAAGCATCATATATACGGATCCAACAGAAAAATTAAAATCTGAAGAAGAAAAAAAGTTCACTTTAAATGAAAATTTTAATTTTTCCTTCTAACATATCAAGAAAATATTGAACAGTCAACGGGAAAAGACGTTGGTTGATTTCACTGCATAATATAGTGTATATTATTATTAGAATTTGTTGTGACGTTTTGCAGGCAAATGCACTTTAAAGGTTGCTTAACAGAACCCAGTGAATCTTTTCTTTTTATAATACGAATGATTTAAATAAAAAAGAAATAAAAAGAGAACATATGAATGTTCTCATATCTTTTTTTTTTGGATACATGTATAGACTTAACTATCAACACAACAGCACTTTACCAAAGGGGGTATCAATTTTAAACAAGAGGCCCGCACTATACCAAAGGTGGCATCAATTTTAAACAAGAGGAACATGGGCTACAACACTCACCCGAGTCACATTGGTCCTGCTATTCTTAAGGAAAAAATTCTAATTTTTTCACCTTTCTAAGCACATGAAAAATTTTGACCTCATATATCTTGACCCCACAGTATCGTAAGAGGATCACAAGTTATCACTTGAATCCTTCTGTTGAAAGTGTCAATCAAAACGTGTCCTCCAAATATGACAGTTGCATCTCAGTCCTATAAAGTTAAGATGCTTTGTCAAATCCTTGACATGTTGTACATAGAAAAAGCAGATGATTTACTTACTGTGGAATCGTTAGATTTTGTGGTGGCTCAATTTTCGTGGAATTCGTGGGTACCCCACATCCACGAATTACAATCTTCCGCGAGTTAATAAACTAGGGTTTCAGAGTCATTTTTCCTTTTGTGGGTATGAGTAAACACACGAAATTACGTCCTCAAGAACCTGTAATATTTATGTAATCCACGAAAATTGGCCCTAACAAATTTTTATGATTCCACCATTTATTGACTCTACAGACATTTCTCGCAGTAAACTAAAATGATACCTTAATACAATATGTCTGATATTATTCAGGCCCGTAGGAAGCAAATTCAGTTTGGGGGGCACAGCCATACACTTTCAGTTGACAGTTGAGGCGGCACTACCAAAAATTTCCTGACAAGCAAAAAAAAAAAGTCATCAGACGTTTTTATTGAGCGAGCACAAGCATATAGTATCTATGTTTGTTATAGTAATCTATATATCGTGCCCCCCCCCCCCCCGGGTTCCTACGGCCATGTTTATTTACTTGAAATAAAACAAGTCAATGCTAACTGATAGAACAGTGAGTATGACAATATCAATACATAACAAGATGTGTTTGTGAAACACTGATGCCCCCGTATGGTAGCTTATGGCGCAGGTTAAAGTTTCTCAAATGCAAGTCATGAGATCAAAGAAAGGTCTTGTCTTGAGGAATATACCTGAGAAATATGAAAGCCCTAGCACCGACTGTTGAAAAGTTGTGGCGAAGGTTAAATTTTTTAAAAGTTAGTAAAACGGCACGGTCAAGGACAAATGGTGCCCAAGGGAAGTTCTTGTCACAAAATGTGATACACATGATCATAAAATGTGAAAGCCTAAAACCAAACGTTCAAATGTTATAGCCAAAGTTAGAATTTTTTAAAGTAGATCAAACTCCAAGGTCAAGGTTAAAGGGTCAAAGTTGTTGGTATCCAAAGGAAGGTCTTGTCACAAGGAATATACATGTGAAGTATGAAAGCCCTAGCTCAAACTGTTCAAAAGTTATGGCCAAGGTTAAAGTTTTTTCAACAGTAGGTCAAACTCTAAGGTCAAGATCAAAGGGTCAAAGTTGTTGGTATTAAAAGGAAGGTCTTGTCACAAGGAATATACATGTGAAGTATGAAAGCCCTAGCTCAAACTGTTCAAAAGTTATGGCCAAGGTTAAAGTTTTTTCAACAGTAGGTCAAACTCCAAGGTCAAGATCAAAGGGTCAAAGTTGTTGGTATTAAAAGGTAGGTCTGGTCACAAGAAATATACATGTTAAGTTTGAAAGCCCAAGAACCAATTGTTCAAAAGTTATGACCAAGTTTAAAGTCTCATAAAATTTTGCAAAAGTGGGTCAAACTCCAAGGTCAAGGTCAAAAGGTCAAATATGATGGTACCCAAAGAAAGGCCTTGTCACAAGGAATACACAAGTGAAATATGAAAGCCATAGCTCCAACCAATCAAAAGTTATGGGCAAGGTTAAAGTTTTTGCGGACAGACAGACAGCAAGACGGACGGACGGACAGGGCAAAAACTATATGCCCCTGAATCTTCGATTGCAGGGGCATAAGAACTGTAACGTTACAGGTATATGGATAACAAGAGGCCCATGGGCCACAACGCTCACCTGAGTAACTTTGGCCTTGCTGTTTTTCACCTGATTTCCCCCCTTGTAGTACTTATTGTGCCCCCGCCCTATCCTCGGGGGTCATGATTTGAACAATTAGAATATACTCTACCCAAGGATGCTTCCACTTAAGTTTCAGCTTTTCTGGCCTAGTGGTTCTTGAGAAGATTTTTAAAGATTTTTCCTACAAATTTCAATGTGAAAATTGGATTCCTTTTTGTGGCCCCGCCCTACTCCCAGGGGTCCTGATTCGAACAATTTAGAATCTACACTACCCCAAGATGCTGCCACTTAAGTTTCAGCCTTTCTGACCAAGTGGTTCTTGATAAGATTTTTAAAGATTTTTTCTACATATTTCAATGCAAAACTTGGATTCCCTATTGTGGTTCCGCCCTACCCTTGGGGGGTCATGAATTGAACAATTAGAATCTACACTACCCCAGAATGCTTCCACATAAATTTCAGTTTTTCTGGCCCAGTGGTTCTTGAGAAGATTTTTAAAGATTTTTTCTATATATTTCAATGCAAAACTTGGATTTCCTATTGTGGCCCCACCCTACCCCGAGGGTCAGGATTTGAACAATTAGAATCTACACTAACCCAAAATGCTTCCACATAAGTTTCAGCTTTTCTGGCCCAGTGGTTCTTGAGAAGATTTTTTAAGAATTTTACTACATATTTCAATGTGAAAATTGGATTCCCTATTGTGGCTCCGCCCTACCCCGGTGGTCATAATTTGAACAATTAGAATTTACACTACATCGGAATGCCCTTCCACATAAGTTTCAGCTTTTCCGGCCCAGTGGTTCTTGAGAAGAAGATTTTTAAAGATTTTTACTATAAAATTCAATGTAAAACTTGAATTCCTTATTGTGACCCCACCCTACCCCCGAGGGTCATGATTTGAACAATTTAGAATTTACATTACCCAGAATGCTTCCACATAAGTTTCAGCTTTTCTGGCACAGTGGTTCTTGAGAAGAAGATTTTTACTATATATTTCAATGTAAAACTTGGATTTCCTATTGTGGCCCCGCCCTACCCTAGGGGGTCAGGATTTGAACAATTTAGAATTTACACTACTCCAGAATGCTTCCACATAAGTTTCAGCTTTTCTGGCCCAGTGGTTTTTGAGAAGATTTTTTAATGCCTCACCCATTTTTTGTCTTTTCTTGATTATCTCCCCTTTGAAGGGGGCTTGGTCCTTCATTTTAACAATTTAAATTCCCCTTTACCTAAGGATGCTTTGTACAAAGTTTGGTTAAAATTGGCCAAGTGAAAAGTTTACAGACGGACGGACAACGGGTGATCAGAAAACTTCAGCTCAGGTGAGCTAAAAAAATTATCAGGTTCTGTAACTCCTATAACAAGGGATATACTCACAAGGTTTCAGTTTAACCATCCTTTCATCCCTGATAAACCCTACCAATCAAAAATCAAACACAACTAAATAATATCCAATCTTCCTCGATCAAGCTAAAAGTGGGGGGGGGGGGGGGGGGATGGTTGTTACCAAACAATAAGTCTGTGAGCCAATGCCCACTAGTAAAACCCCTGCTCTGGTGTGAATATATGCTCTTATGTGAATATACACAAGCTAAGCTGTGAAGGATAAACAGAAAGTTGACATTGAATTCGTACAAAAATGAATCCCACCATATGGCATGCAATACAAAGCGAGTGCTAAAATTTTAAATATGAGTAGTTGTTGATAAAACTGCAACGAAAACTTATGAACAGACACACAAGGGTAAAACATTTTACCCCCCTCTCCTTCGGAGCGAGGGTATAATAATTTTGCCAGTACATGTATATACTATACAGCATGAAATAATGCTAATGTATGGTTGTGTGCTTGTCAAGATATTTTTGTTAGGTTGTCCCCCCTCCCTAAACTGAACTTGCTTTGTAGGGGCCTGTACCTTTAAACCCAAGGCTTAGAACATGATTCCATATGCCGAATCTGTGGAGAGCAGATGCACTGCACTGCTAAGTTACACTTCCACAGAAAAGCCGAGTTTTCTTAAATTAATTTTACAAAAGGTCACAGCCTCAGACTTGTACCCTTTAAAGACATACGCAACGAAGTTTGAACTTTATTGTCTTTTCCCCTGGAGTTGAAGAGTTCCAATACTTAAAGGAACTGTGTGCTACATTTTAATGTCTATATATTCTGTTGTTCACTTCTTCTTAAACAAATTTGGATAAACAAAACATCTAGAATATATGTTAAGTTAATTCGTATGTTTTTCTTTGAATTATAAAAGAATTTTCATCAATTGATATCTTTTTAAAACCCCTGATAATGCTTGCTGATTTTTTGTCTATGAATATCTGATGGCACTATAATCTGAAATTAAGAATATCTTGAAAAATTATCAGTAGGAAAGGTATGTTGCGTATGTCCTTAATGTAAATTCTCCATTGTAGCGAATCATACAAAATGAAAGTTTTTTTCCTCTGTCCCAGTTTATCAGAAATAATAAAAGCTCTGCAATAAAAAAAAAGTTTATTTGAAATAAAATGAAGATTAGGTCCATGGGACTTCTACCAGTACAATTCTTCAATATATGTTGGAGAGCTTATCTTTATAAACACTCAAAAATGACAGAGCAAGATTCTGAGGTAGAAGAAGCTGGCTAAGATATGTCAATTTACCACAGATGAACGTAAAAAAAAAAGATAACAGATTTTAAAAATACTTCAAATGATTCAAAATATTAAATAATGTACATGTAACAGCTAGTGGAAGTAAAATAATTACTGTGATATTAAACATTATTTATTTATTCAAGTAACAGCTATATACTTCCATTATAAATACTGTTTAAAATTCCGTTAAAGCAAAGAACAAAGAGAAAAAAGTACATTTCAATGTATAATTGTCATCATACACATCCACATATAAACAAATTCAACAACAACAAGCAGTGCAAAGAAAAGCATCAAGTTGGAGACAATGCTAATAACTTGGTTTAATAAAATTACTTGACCTCAAATATCTAATGGCTTTTAAGACTACAAATAATGTCAGAGAAAAAACAAGAATCATTTTCTTTACATACAAAGTGACGATTCAACTATAAATTATAAGCAAATTTTACTGGAGTGGTTTTTTTTTCTAATTTGGATCAGCACCAAATGTCATATTACTCTATACATTTAAAAAATTCTAGACTACTAAAATGTTATTTGCAAGTAGTTACTTTAACTTTTATGTTTGCCTACAAGATACTGTTTTCCTTTCCTTGAATGAATACATTTGCGTGAGTTTATGCTTATTCAAAATGACCATGCAAAAATCTTTGCGTCAGCTATTATAAAAGATGTGAAATCTGACCATTAATCTCCATCTTCCTTGACTGGATGATGCATTCTGCATTTGGCCCATAATTATGATAAAAGTGGTTGATAAAAGAATCAGAAACACGGTCAAAAAAAAATGTGCACAAAATTTCGGGTAACAATGATATGTCAATCATAAATACTAAGCTACAAAAACTTAAGTAAACTTTTTTGATTTATTCAGAAGTTTCAAAGCACAAATATATTTTGTTTTACTCTACAGTATAGCTGAGATTCTGTAAAAATGAGAAGAAACTTTTGTCACAGAGTGAAAATGCATCTTACAAATACATATCATATTCAAACCAGCTTGTATCAATAAACTACAAACATTAACCATTTTGGCTGTTCATACCAATATCATCAGTGTTGTGAATTGAGGCATTGGTGAACAAAGAAAAAAAAACATAAAAATGTATGAAAAATGGACAATCCTGAACAAAGCACACGTTTCTGGGTACTTTGTGATACATAAATACATTTAATATGTTTAAAATATCCTTGCAATAAAATGTATAAACAAGTTCAATAAGCAAAATATTTGCATGTTAAAGTCAGTCTTGTTCTCCATATAATACCCCCCCCCCCCCTCCTTTCCCACAACAATTTAAACCATTATTCACCTAAACCAAATTTTAAGAATGTGTGACTTAAAACTTTGGTTTTTTTTTTTTTTAAAATGAGAAATTGAAAGAATTCCTGAGATTTTCTCTTTGGATGTTTCATCAAGTGTGTTATATCACTGATTAAAATAAATGTCTCTTCATTGTTATAGATGTGCTATAGTAAAGCACAAAATAGCATTATATCTGATACTGGCATCACTTGTATCTACCTGTATGCCAATTTCATCAGCCTCTTTGAATACTTCCAGGCACAAAAATACTATGACATGTAAGGATAACAAGAATAAAACATAGACTGGGACTTTTCAAGTTCACCGGTCAGTTTTACATGTGAATAGCACTTTTTAAAAATAGTTACAAATTACAAAACCTATAAAACACAAAATTCAGCCCCTTGATTGTGCAGTGGTTACAAGTCTGTAATATATGCCTTGTTTACTCATAAGGTCGCTATGACGACCCTGTTCTACAACCTCTCCGTGTTTGATGACACAGATCTTGTCGGCGTTCTGGATTGTGGAAAGTCGGTGAGCTATGACGATACACGTCCTTCCCTCTCGTGCCTTATCAAGGGCTTCTTGAACAATCTGAAAAATAGATTCAATGCATTTCATGATATGTTTGAGAAAATTTTCAAGAACGGTACAATTTTTTGATATCAAACATTTAAAAAATGACTTTTAATATCTTTATTGTTACAGTGCATTTATGATTACATCCAAGTTATTGCAGTCACAATGACGTCAGATTCTGAGGTCAATCTAATGACAGTTTGGTCAAAATAATAGAATCTTGCACAGTGAGTAAAAGATGTATGTCCTGGCAACAAGTCGTCTGCATGACCAAATGTTTCCTTGAAATAGTGTTAAACATCCACAAGACATGCAGACACCACTTCGTTACAATTTTCATTCAAAATTTGTTGCAAAAAGCATGACACACTATACCAAAAACAATGTACCTTTTCACTCTCTGTGTCAAGGGCAGAAGTGGCCTCGTCCAACAGAAGGATCTTGGGATTTCTGACCAGTCCACGAGCAATGGCCACTCGCTGCTTCTGTCCACCTGAAAGTTGTGTCCCCTTGTCACCACACAGAGTGTTATAGCCCTATGGGGGAAAAAAATCAATATTTTTCATCAAAGTTTACCTGTGCTCTTAAAATAAATACGTTACAAAGCATAATATTATACATAATTAACTTTTCCTCCAATATTTTAAGGATTTTTCAATTAATATGAACAACTTTTACACAAACTTGTTTTAATACATGGTAAAAAATTTTGTTTCCTCAATCATACAACTGAATTATTTGAAATGAATTAAGATATATGTTAGTTTTTTAACATAATTTTGCTTATTTCAATCTTGCAGTATACAAATTCATAATAAAGGGGTGTATCCACACTTTTCTACACTTGATTCTTTCGAGACTTTAACATATGCTACTTGATTCTTACTTACATTGTTACTTGACACTGACTTACATTTGGTAATGATTCAATAAAACTGTGGATGTTGGCCTTTCTGGCAGCCTCAATGATCTCCGCCATGGAAACCTCTCTGAAGTTATCCCCATATGCGATGTTTTCTGCGATACTGCAATCAAACAACACTGGTTCCTGGGACACAATTCCAATTTGTCTTCGAAGCCACTGGACGTTCAACTCCTTGATATCATTTTCATCCAGAAACTACAAAAAGTGAGTGCTAGGATCATTTTTTCAATATGGCTTTTGACAACATTCAAATTTCTCAAAACATTTGTATGATTTTTCAATGATCTGTTTTAGGTGCATTAAATAAGCACAATACTATTTTTACAGCTTTTCACTAGTAAATATACACGTAGCATTCTTTGTGTGTAATAGCATTTGAGTTCTCTTGAAGACTTAGACTTAACATTTCAATGGGATGTAATATTGCAATAAATGCATGATTTGTAAAACAAAATATTGGAAGAAATACACATTATCCTACTTGTTCAGACTGAATCATGAGCAAAAGAAATGTGCCCCCCCCCAAAAAAGTCCTCCACCTCTTGATATATAGTGAGTTTAAAGTTATCCAATGACCAGTTTGCTATGTACATGTATATACCAAAATACCTTTAATTCATGATATTATATCTCCTATACCTTCACCAAAAAAGGAAATTTTAAAGGTACCTACTGAAGCATAATTTTTAAGGGACAAAAGTGTTAAATGACCTTGAGTTGGCCCACTTACCACCACGCCTTCCTCTGGGTCATAGAAGCGCTCCATCAGTTGTACTGTGGTGCTCTTGCCACACCCTGAGGCCCCCACAAGTGCCACCGTTTCGCCTGGGTTTACTTCCAGAGTCAGACCCTGTAGCACCTCCACATCAGGTCGAGTGGGATAACGGAAATGTAGACTATCAAACCGCACCTTGCTGTTTACAGTCAACTAAAAATGATAAATTTAAAATAGAAACAAATTGTTAAACCAACACTGAAAAAATTGTTTCAGCAATGCTTTAATTATATTTCACATCTGGAATTATTATCATGAATAAAAGGCCCATTGGCCCCAATATTTAATTAAGTATAATAAATAATCCCACGTACTTCTATAAAGCATAAAGTCATATAAAAATTATTCACTTTTCCTGATAGACAGAAACAGTAAATCCATGTCACAAGGATCAGTAAAGCTAACTTAGTGTCTCATGAAAGCTAAAAATCAATGAAAGAGAAAATTTCCTTGCTTTGAAAGATGATCTAAAAAAAATTCCTTTGAACTTAAACAGAAAAAAATCAAATATTCAAGGACCTAAAGAAAAACCATCTCAACAAAATTGCTTGTAAAACTTACGTCTCTCTTGCCTTCTTCCGAGTAAGGGTCTATTTTGGGTTCCATTTTTAACATATGGAATATATGGGCAGCAGAAACTTTGGCTTTTGAAGCATCAGGTGCAAAAGCACTGGCTTGTCCCAAGGCCATGGCACCAAACACAATAGCACTGAACACCCTGTTTAAAAAATAATAAAGAGGAATATAAGATTGCATAGGATGATCTCCCCTTCTACAAGGCATACATCCCAATGAATATTGACTGAGGGTTTCTTTGATTTAATGCACACAACACAAATTTTTACACCACAAGCAAACGGAGCCCTCAGCCCAGGTGGACTAAACACTATGGAAAAATAAACATTATTTTGTAAAATATTGATATCACACTGCAATTTGTACCATGTGACTTACTTAAACACATCTGTGTACTCCATCTCATTTTGTCGGATCAGATAGGCTCCAAACCAGAAGGAGGCAGCGTAGGCAAAGAACAGAATTCCTGTGGCAAAGGAGAAGGCAATGGCGGTCAGGTGGGCCTTTTTTAGGGAGGCACTGTAGGGGCCCTGGAGTAGGGCTTTATAATTCTGCACCATTTTCTCCTCCTTGGTCAGGCTAGCTACAGTACGCATGTTCTCAATCGATTCTGTAGCAGTCTTTCCGGCTTCCTCTAACGCTTCTTTGTTTTGACCTGTACGTGGTCAAAGGATACAGTATATTTTATTGTTAAAATGCATATAGTATAGACTTATATGTTTGCACTATAAAAATTTAAATACAGAAATTGAAATTAAGACAGTTTTAATGTTGCTAACTAAACTAGGATTCTATAAATGAACATGCACTGATGCTTGTCTATACATGTAATGTCTATTTGATGTTCACACTCATAAAAAATTCTCCTTCAGAAATTTACACTCATGCCATTTTCCGAGGAAAAATCCCTAACAGTGAAAAAAATATCCACTCACCTGCCACCCCTTGTAGAAGTTTCATCTGCAGCATGCCTGCAATCATGATGAATGGCAGGAAAGCCATAATGACCAGGGTCAGCTTCCAGCCGTAGATAAATGCGATGATAATGGCTGTGCCTAGGTTAGCTATACTCTGGACAATACTCCCAAGTCTGGCTCCAGAGATCTGAAAGCATCATCAATTCATACTACATTTGTGAATACGTTTAACTTTTTTTTTAACCAATTACTGTATGTGTACTTAAAAAAGCGGGCTTCATACATGGCACGGACAAGTGTAGCGCTAATTCATGATTAACTCCATTCCATTCATGAACAACTCCATACCCCTTGATTGTGCTAAATTTTGAATACACCAATTTATGTACAAGTACAGTAATTTTCTAAAAATATACATGATGTAATCTTGTTTGAAAATTTGTTGAAAACTGTAGCCTTGAATTTGATCCTTCACTAAAAAGGAAGCTATAACACTACAAAGTGGCTAAATGGTATTTGATTAAACATAAAGTTTAGACCCACCATAACCATATGTAACATGTACCGAATAAGAAGACTTGCACATACCCCCTGAACCTGCGAGGCATCAGTGGCCAGTCGTGTGGTGAGAGCACCTGTCGTGTTCTTATGGTCATCAAACCAGGAAATGTCCTGTCTCAGCATGGCCTTAAACACAAGACGACGTAGTCTCATCGTGAGGGATTCACCAGACACTCCAAAGCAGTAACCCTACAGTGACAGTAGTAAGATAACAAAGAGCAACCACTGTCTCTAAATACTGAAAGTCAACATGACAGACTTCCCAAAATGTATAATAAGTTTACTATATTCAAAGCAACATTTATGCATTCATAAAATGAATCTTTCAAACATGTACAAACAATATCTACATATTAACTGAGAAATTACAGAATGTAGTTTACATCAGTAACATCACCCATAACAGGAATTTATTATTATAATGTAAATCTATTTGTACACTGGAGGTTAATCATTTTACTATACTTAAGACTAGGAAACACATACAAGTATATATCTGTAGAGAAAAATAGATCCTAACAAGAGGCCCAAGGGCCTTAACTGTCACCTGAGTATAATACAACAATTTAGAAGTTAAATACACTGATAGTTGAAGCTTTGTTGCCCTAAAGCAAGAGAAGTAGGAAGATCAGGATCAACAAAATAATTAGTCTAGTATTCAGTATCAACTCATAAATTAAGTTCTAATCTGTCCCCCACTTAACACTATGCAGACTATTAACAAACTATCAGTCCTTCTGTACTATTTTTAAACCCATATTAAGACCTCTAGCATTGACCTCTCTTATGGTCTTTGAAGAACTTTTAATAAGATAAGTTGTTTTTGTCTCATTTTTATTTATCTATTACTTACAGGTCTACCTGTTTATTAAAACTAAGAAAGTACTTTTTTAATTATACGATAAACATTCTTGCATAATTATCTTATTCTATTAACCTTTCAAATACATTATTTACAGTGATTAATTATCAAAGGTGAATGGAAAAGGGGAATAACTTCTCTCAGTAGAATACAAATTAATAGAGCCCTGCCCAGGACCAGAATGCTTAGACCAATGGTCCAGATGTTTAAAAATCTGGTAGAGATATGCTTACTCATATCATTTAAACTTTTACTCAGTTTGCTTCCAATATGCCCAGAAGCAGAGAAGAATTTCACAGGTACAATGCATTTTCACTACAGATTCAACAAAGCCTTACCCTAACACCAGAACCCAAGACCAAGGGTCAAGAAATTTACAAATTTGGAAGAGTTACCCTCATCATCATAACTATGGACTTCAAAGAATTAACACTTTTCCACTATATTATCAAAAGCCCCCCCCCCCCTTGTTATGCCAGAACCCCTGATCCTAGGACCACAAGATTTAAAAATTCTGTTCGAAGCTCCCATTTTCATCATAGCTAAGCAATTTATTTATCAGCTCAACACTAAGGAGCAGACAGGATTAATTAATGATTAATAGAATTAAAGCTTTTTCACTATATAATCAATAGAGCCCCCCCCCCCCCCTCCTCAAGAACCCTAAAAACTGAGGCCATATATTTAAAAATTTTGGAAGAGGCATCCTTGTCTATCATAATCATGCACTTAGTTTGTTTATATAATCTCCAGTAGCAGAGAAGAAGATTTTCAAAGAATCAATGCATTTTCACTATATAATCTATAGAGCCCCGCCCTAACACCAGAACCCCTGACCCTGGGGCCATGAAATTCACAATTTTTGAAAAGGCATCCTTATGCATCATAACCATGCACTTAGTTTGTTTAAATAATCTCCAGTAGCAGAGAAGAAGATTCTCAAAGAATCAATGCATTTTCACTATATAATCAATAGAGCCCCGCCCTAACACCAGAACCCCTGACCCTGGGGCCAAGAAATTCACAATTTTTGAAAAGGCATCCTTATGCATCATAACCATGTACTTAGTTTGTTTAAATAATACCCAGGAGCAGAGAAGAAGATTTTCAAAGAATTAAAGCATTTTCACTATATAATCAATAGAGCCCCGCCCTAACACCAGAACCCCTGTCCCAGGGGCCATGGCTTTCACAATTCTGGAAGAGGCCCACCTCCTCATCTTAACTATGTACTTAGTTTATCACCTTAATGCCCAGGATCAGAGGAGAAGATTTTCAAAGAATTAATGCATTTTCACCATATAGTCGATAGAGCCCCGCCCTTACATCAGAACCCCTGACCCTGGGGCCATGAAATTCACAATTTTGGAAGAGGTACTCTTGCTCATCATAACTATGTACTTAGTTACTTTATTAAATATCCAGAAGCAGAGAAGAAGATTTTCAAAGAATTAATGCATTTTCACTATATAATCTATAGAGCCCCGCCCTAACACCAGAACCCCTGACCCTGGGGCCATGAAATTCACAATTTTTGAAAAGGCACTTTTGCTCATCATAACTATGTACTTAGTTACTTTATTTAATACCCAAGAGCAAAGAAGAAGATTTTCAAAGAATTAATGCTTTTTCACTATATAATCTATAGAGCCCCGCCCTAACACCAGAACCCCTGACCCTGGGGCCATGAATTTCACAATTTTGGTAGAGGGCTCCATGCTTATTACAATGATGCCAACAGTTTGACTGCTTGATGTCCAGGAGTAAAGAAGAAGATTTTTAAAGATTGCGTTAATTTTGGTGGTTTTAGCCCCACCCCTCAGGCCCCAGGGGGGCAGGGATCATGAAATTCAAAATTTATCTTCCCCTTCACCCATAGATGCTATATACCAAATTTGGTTGAAATTGGTTGAGCGGTTTTAGAGAAGAAGTTAAAAATGTTCAAAGTTAAAGCACGACGCACGACGACTGACAAAAACAGATAGCAATAGGTCACCTGAGTGACTCAGGTGACCTAAAAATTAACATGGTTTAACAGTACTGGAATCTTTTCTAGAAATGATTACATACCTGTATGAGGAAGGTAAAGAAACTGACACCTCCGATTCCACAAAGAATAAGAACGTACATTTCTACTTCTCTTTCTTGTTTTTCTTGGTCAGGCTCGGAAAATACCTACAAATGGCATGTTAATACATACAATCATATATTGCATATGCTGTATCTAACACCTGGAATAGAGCTGATAAAATTTAGACTGCTGTAGACATGAAGAATTTGCAACTGCTTAATTTTTTTTTTATTATCATCAATGGACAATATTTAAGCTGAGCAAGAATAGAGTACTAAATTAGGTTTCTTTTTAGTTTTTTTTTTAATTTTTGATGTCTTCAAAATCCTTACCCCCAGGATTTCGGAGAAAATGACGGCAAATGAGGGTTGAACACCACCATTCAGCAGGGCAGCCAGACAACCAAACAGAATATATGGCCATTCCTTGGCGTTCATCCTTAGGATCTGGGCCATGCTAGCTTCTGGGGGCTCATCAGAATCTTTTTTCTGAAATTCAAATTTTTTTAGTCAGAACAATACACATTACACATACAATAATTTTATAAAATATTAAGAATAGTTTTCTTTCCTTTCTAGTTTCATTTACATTTTTTTTTCGATCAGAATAAAACTGTTAAATTAATAATGTCAGGAACATTTATCTTAATTACAAAGTACATGTAGTACAATGTATTCTAAAGAGAAGAAATAGCCAATTCTGAACCTAAATTAGAATGAAAACAGATGATCTTAAAAAAACATAAAAACATCTGTAACCAAAAGAAAATTTTGGCTGTACATGCATTTAGTAAGACAAAACAAGAAGTAACCATCCCAAGACTTAAATACTTAATAACTTTATTGCTTAAAGCATCAAATTGTCTCATTCTCTCTGATATGGTAGAAAGTAAAGTATACAGGGTTATTTTCACCTTGTGTTATTTTCCCCTATTTACACTTGAAAACAATTTTACCCCATTTTAAATTCACCCAGACTGGGTTGTGTTAAATAGATAATGTTGTCTTCTTTAAATTTGTTCCATTTTAAATTTTGCAACCATGCAGGGCAAATTGGGCAAAAATAAAACTGTGGCAAAATTTCCCTGTATAGAGTATTTCTTCTGCTCACCTTTTTCTTTCCCCCTTTGTCCTCTTCCTCAACTCCAGGGACTTTATCAATGGACACCTGATTTCTGAGTGGGCTCTTGATTTGATAAGAAATCTGACGATCCAGAGCTTTCTTCTCCTTCTCCTGGGGACTGGCAAATTTTGAAATCAGCATCTCCTCTGAAAAATCACGGAGAAATTAGCAGTTCTTCACTGCAGGTTTGCATGGTTAATTAATCCAGATGGGGCATCTTCTAAAGCAAGCAAGATCATTTGTGCCAAGGAAACCTATAGAATTTTTGAAGATTTGTATACTGGTAATAGAAAAAAAATTATATAGAAGTTTGTCCTCCTTTGCTCTTATCTACCTCTACTACCAAGCCCCCATCTGGGGACATTTGATATGATTTATGATTTTTTTTTTTTTTGGGGGGGGGGGGGTCTAAATTTTCACTTTAAAAGAAACTTGACATAGATTTCTTTTGTTAAAGAAGTTTCATTGCTTAAAGTACATGCACATGTTATACAGGGTATTAACATTGCCATTTATTTCTGCTTCAGGAATAAATGATGTCTTTACATAGAAGGTAATATCAGCTTGGCAATAACACATGCATGCTATTACATAAATATCAATGTTTTGATACATTTTATGATTCATAAGCTTTAATTTATGAATGTTTGGTTGTGTACAAAACTGGAAATAACATTTATTAAACTAGATAAATAAATTTTCATCACAAAAATTTAAAAAAATAAAAATTTTGCAAAATGAAATTGATCCTGTTGAAAAATTTACATCTCTGATAAAATGAAACTGATGTATACATAATTATACGTAATTCCCTTTACAGCGGACTCTGGGTTTGTCCACTGCATTTTCAAATATTTATTCAGGAAAGATTTATTGCAGTAACAAAACAAAACAAGGCAGTGTGCTTTATTTGACTTTGTTAATGTTAACTAATGGCCACATTTATAAGCTCTTTAAATATTACAAATCTAATATGTAAACATACCTTCTTCATCGTGAGACCCTCCTGTGTTTAAGTTAGCATGAAATGAGACGACAGCAAACGGAAAGGTTAGCATATCAAAGAACAGCAAATCTAAACTGACTGGTTATTAATAAACTATACAATGAAATATGTTTTAGACCACCATAAACACCTGTCATAATTTTGAAAATCTGATATCTCAATCAAGCGTAAAAGCTTTCTCAATACCCTTGTTTTAACATTCTGGTGTAAGACATATTTCCTTTCACCAATGACTAGCATTGATAACATACATATACAACTATAATAAAACGTGCACAATCCAAAACATAATACATAAAATGTGGTGCAAGGTCATCCAAAGCAAATTTTTTTTCCCTCCCTCCCTCTCTCAAAAATATTTAATTATTTAACAATAGGATAAAACTGACACTCCCCCCCCCAAACCTCTACCTCAATCACAAGCCAAAACATTCCAGATTCAAATTCCAAAAATTTAATGGACAACTAAAAATACACACATCTCACACTGTAAAAAATTTTGATCATCCCTTGATAGTAGAGTATCAAAAAAGGGAGAAAAAATTTTACATGTACAATGACAAAAAACGTATGTAATTATCTGAAAAAAAATGTAGCTAGGACAAACATTTATTTTCAGATTTACTTTGGATGACTAGTGCATGCACATGCCTGTTCTACATTCAAGTGATCAGCAATATATGGTGCTATAAAAACTACAATATAAATATACATGTATTATAACTACTTTCACTGCAACCATTAAATGAAAAGATGTGATGGATTTATCTATACAAAGGCTGCCTTCAGATTTCTAGATTTTTTTTTTTTCATTTTATCACTCTTGAAGAACTTGAGATTAAATACATGTATTGAAAAAAATCAGACTCCTGCTGAAATAAGTATTCAATTTTGTGACTGAAGACAATCTTTTTCTCTAAAAAGATACCAAATGAGCCATAAATGCAAACTAATGAAAACTCATAACATGAAAAACAATACTTCCAGATAAAATCAATGAAGATTAACATATTATAACTTACCCTCTTCATCCACTTCCCGAGTCTAAAATGAAACACAAGGCAAGATTAACCATCTAGTTTATCTAAACTCTTCCTTCATTTATTCCTCATTTTAAAATCTAAATAATCTTTCATGTTAAATTTTAACCTCTTTCAATCATTCAATTTTTTTTCAAAGATGGTTCAAAATCAGAGAAAAGTGTGAATGACAGCCATTGGGCTCACCTGATTGGTCACCAATGTGAAGTACACGCCCCCTTTTTTCATCAGTTCATCATGAGTTCCATTCTCCACTATGACACCCTCTTGGAATCCAGCTATTTTATCTGCTGTTTTAATGGTGGACAGACGATGTGCAACTACAACAGTTGTTCTTCCTGCTCGAGCCTAATGATAGAATTTCTATCTTGTTGCACTTTATACATGTATATTCTATTCTTTAATCTACTTATATTCTATTCTTTAATCTACATTAGTATTCAGTATCTATCAGAGTACCTTCTTCTAACCTAGTTTTATAAAACATTTTTAAATTGTTTCATAATAAACTTTGCCTTTTTTTGAGACTTCACTAACATCTGGCTCCTGGGCCATAAAACTTAGATGAGCTCACTTTCGATCTCAGTCTCACTTTTCCCTTATATATTCCTTTTGTAAAAGTGAGACTGAGATCAAAATGAGCTTGTCTAATTTTTGTTGCCCAAGAGCCTGGCATTATATGCAAGCTTCAGAGGTTAAGATTCTCAAAATCTGTAATATAGCCCTTAACATACTGTAAGCAAGGATATTTGACTCATGTTGTACAATTCACACATGCAAGTAGCATGAAGCATATGCATGGGGATTATTTCCACAATACCCGGATACTGTATTGCTAATAAACAAATATGTACAAAGGCATAAGTACACTGAGGGATATTTATCTCAAATATTTCTCATTAGGTATCTTGCACCAAAATCTCCATGATTACATTAAGTTCTTACACAAGTATGTCATAACTGTCATGTGTTATGACCTCTAACCTTGTCTAGAGCCTCTTGTACCACAGACTCGCTTTCTGTGTCCAGGGCTGAAGTTGCCTCATCAAGTAGTAGGATTCTGGGGTCCCTAACTAAGGCTCTGGCAATAGCAATCCTCTGTTTTTGTCCCCCACTCATCTGGGCCCCGCGCTCTCCAACCAAAGTCTCGTATTTCTAAACATAAAATAAATATGTATCGATTAATAAATATTTCTATTTCAAATTGAAAGAAAAAAACAAACCCTGAAATAAAATGTATTGGCATTAAATATTCCCCTTACATTGGGAAGTTTCATGATGAAGTCGTGGGCATTAGCCATTTTGGAGGCAGCCTCAATTTCCTGCTGGGATATCCCTTCTTTGCCATAACGGATGTTTTCTGCGATGGTCGTTGCAAACAAAACAGGTTCCTGACTGACCACCCCTATCTGCTGTCTCAGCCATTTTGTATTCAGATTTCTTATGTCTTTGCCATCAAGAGCAACCTGTGATATCAATTTAAACATAAAAAGTTTTTTTTTTCCTAGTCTGCATCAACATAAAGAAATTAATAAATATTTTAAACATTCAAAAAAAAACTGTATTCAAATATAGAGAAAAAATTTCAAAGGTTAGAAAAATAGTCTTGTAAAAAACATGTGGAAATTTGTACCAATCCCAATATGACATTTCAAATGCAAGGTGCTATTGTCTTTCCCCCATTTTTTGTTCTCCCTATGAAACAAGATTTACCTGTCCTTCTTCTGGGTCGTAGAACCTTTGAAGGAGTTGTATGATGGTACTTTTGCCACACCCACTAGATCCAACCAGGGCGACGGTTTCTCCCCGATTAATATCTAAGTTGACACCTTTCAAAACCTGTCAATTTAATCAGGTCATGATCTTAATGTAAAATTCCTCTAAGTACAAATATCAAGATAAAAATTCCTTTTTTCTCTCATATTCATAAGAAGTTTATCATCAGTATAATGCTTGCTTCTTGTGGCTGTATTTTAAGTTCAAATGAATCACTTTAATGAATTATAATATGTTGACGGTGCGACCGTTGGGGCGAGCGCATTGTTCACTTCATTTTAAGATCCGCCTCTTCAAACCGCACGAGACATTTGGAACGTCTAAACTGTGACGTCACATGACGTCGTATGTTAGCTGCATTTCCATAAACAAAGTTTAAAAAGTGCAAATATTTTAACAAAGAACGTTTAATCTATCTGCATGCAATAGCCATTAAATTAAGGTGAGTTTATTTTTTGTGAAATTTTAGTTGTTGTCACCGCGTGAACGAAGTTAGCAGCGAGAACAAGAAGCGATGCATTGTGGGTCAGAATTACTGCGGAAAAAAATTCTATTGAATGAATGTGCAGTAGTCCGAATTTTCTCTTCGCCCAGGCGTTGTCGTTAGAGCTCGCAGTGACGAGCGGCGCTTCGCGCCGCTCGCTGCGCTCGCTATTATAGTCCGAACATTTTTATAAATTTTAAAAATTACCTGAACCTCATCTCTGGCCGGATATCGGAATTTGACATTCCGCAGGGTCAGGTTTCCACTTACGGAGGACAGTTTCTCCCCCTGATCTGACGCAGAGTCAATATGCGGCTCCTAAAGTTTGAACGAATAAGATTTTTTAATGCAGTTTCCCAATCACTTCTCTCATAATACTGTATAATGACACTGACAGTACATTCTACAAATCTAAGGCAGCATAAATGATCGACATATGATTTATAAATATCATTACACATAAATGCTAGAGCAGAATAAGAAATCTGCTCTAATCTGTACAGATATTTAGAAATTATACACTAAATTGTGAGAAATTATGAATGTATAGATATGCCTTCAGTTTAACATTTAGTGACTCTAAACATTACCTGGAAAGGAGGATACAATCATGTTCAAGCCAAATAATTTAACTCTAAACTCTCATTTTCTTTGCCCCATCATGTTACGATTTATAAAGGGCTCATCTCTAGCCACAGACCTGTTCTATCAAGTTATAAGTGCTACCTGATATATCAAGACATACATGTGGAAGTCGTACCTGTTCTATCAAGGCAAAATTGCTACTATTCTATAAGGCATAAGTGCTACCTATGCTGTCAAGTCCTTAGTCTTACCTGGCTCCATGACCATAAACTGAGAACAGACTTAAATCAAAATTTCAAATCAATATATTTTTTTAAAAATAAATATGATAATGAAACAACATTTTTAAACTTGAGTAAGAACTTGTGTATTATACAAACCTGAAAATTTTCATGCACATTAGTTAATTTTAACTGCATGAAGATAATCAAAATCAAATTTTTGATTAAGTCTGTTCTCAGTTTATGGCCTTTGGCACTGTTCTATCAAGGTGCAAGTGCTTCTTGTTCTATCAAGGTGTAAGTTCTACCTGTTCTATCAAGGCGTAGATTGTGAATGCTGATCCCCTCGCCACAGATAAACTTTGCATGCTTGGAGCAGCATGTCCGAGAGAAAACGCTCCAATCAGAACGCTGAAGAAGACCTGTCAAACAAATGTGTACAGTATACATGTACTGATTAAACAAAGTTGTATGGGTGTAATATGCCCAAGATGAGAATTCACATTTTTTTTTTAGTAATGACAAATGGCAATTCTATATTATCACAAATGTTTATCAAAGTGAATATTAAAACAAAATTCTGCAATCTCTTGATATTAAAGTGTAAAGCAAAATTTACATATAATTAGTTTGAGATATTTTAAAAACTTCTAATTTGACCACCACAAAAAATTGTAAAATACATGGAGATAGAAACATGAAATAAAGTTACTCTGACCAAAAATATAATGTCTACATTTTAAAAGATAGAAATATGACTTCCACATTCAATGAAGACAAATATGCATTTACAATGCGGGGAAAAGATAATAATATAGTCAACTTACAATGAAGACAAAAATATCAACTTACATGAGGTCAAAAATATATTGTCAACTTACAATGAGGTCAAAAATGTCAACTTACAAGAGGTATAAAAATATATATTGTCAACTTACAATGAGGACAAAAAATGTTAACTTACAATGAGAACAAAAATGTCAACTTACAAGAGGTCTAATATATAATAGTCAACTTACAGTGAAGACAAAAATACATGTATCAACTTACAAGAGGTCAGATATATTGTAAACTTACAATGAGGAAAAAAATGTTAACTTGAAGAGGACAAAAATATAATATTAATTTACAAATGAGGAAAAAATGTTAACTTATAATGCGGACAAAAATATGTCAACTTACAATGAGGACATTGGAGACCTTATAATCGTCGTCCTCACGGATGAGCTTGGATCCATACCAGAATCCGAGACCATAGGCACAGAACACCACCAGATACACCAGACCCATGGACCACCCCACGGTGATCCCCTTCTTGACCCCGTTCTTCTTAGCTTCCTCAAGATGGCTGTCATACCTTTACAGCAAAGAGACACCAATAAAACCTCTAAGGAAAAGGTGGGAAATATTTTTTTTCCATATGAAACTTGCATGTAATATTTTTTCACATCAAAATGTTGAAGAGAGTACTAATTCATTTCTTATAGCATTGCAGATTGATATGACCCCAGTATTTATGTTTTCTCTATATAATTATTGTTCCCTTTAATGCAAAATGACAAAATTATGAACATATTTTTTAAAACACAGAATCCAGCATACTTCCATTCTGGGCACTGGTATAGCATTGTCTTATTGTAATCAAACCCAGCTATTTCCAAAGTTTTTCAAAGTCCTGAAGAATTGAATTTTCAATCATACTTTATTCTACATCTACTTAACCTGATTTGGAGGCTAGGGAATTTTTATTTCCTAGATCTAAGCCAAACTGTAACCTCCAAGCTAATGCTGGACAGACATATACCTGGCACATTCCTTCTTCTGTCCACCAAATGCGGCCACAGTTCTGATGGCCCCGAGGACTTCCTCTGCGACAGAGCCGGCCTTAGCGTACGCCGTCATCTCTTTACTGGCACTGAGGGACAGCAGCTGAAATCAACAAACGACAATTAACACAGGTGCCAAGTGATAACACACTGTTAATAACACAGGTGCCAAATGTGATAACATATAGGTGTCAAGTGAAAACACACAACAACACAGGTGCCATGTGAAAACACAAAACATCTACATCAAAATATAATTATATTAATCAATTAATCAATGATGAATCTTTGATGTCCTACTTTGTTCATCAGAGTAGCCACTCCAGCCAGCAATGGTGTAATAGCCAGGATGACCAGTGTTAGTTTCCACCCATAAATAAATCCGATCGTGAACCCCGCAAAGAACCCAGACATCCACTGGACAAAAGTCCCCATCTTGTCCCCAATTCCGAGGTGGATTTTATTGATATCACTAAAAGAGAAAGAGACACACGTTAACAACTTTGTGAAAAAGATGAATTAGTTATGAGGAAAGCTAAAAGCTATATATATGTATGCTGTGTATGACACAAAAATATCCATGCCTTAGAATCATCATTACAAAATACTGACTGCATATTTTACATCCACACATAATGTTGATGTGTAAAAACATGTACTTAAGCCCAGTATAAGACCATCATTAAAAATATCTTTGTTTCCCCTAACCCGACCCTAAAATCTCAAGTTGGGTAGGTAGGTAGGTAAATAATATTTTTTTCTGACAGCAGCTTTGAAAATGCATTCTGAAATTCAATGGACTTATACCTTTTTGAATAAGAAAAAGTACAAAAGAAAACGATTTGTAAACAGAATATCATACAAATGCCATTTAAAAGCAAAATTTAAGGTAAATTAATTCAAACTATATTTAGTTGAGCTAGTGAAATATCTCATGCCAAGCAAAGTAAATTTACTGAAATTGAATATTAAATAAGACAAGATTCTCAAATACGCAAAGACCAGACATCCGAGCACTAGGATATTTTTCAAACCAGTGCTTACACCTGCAATGCACTTTTTCAAGGGCCTTGTATTGTGCAGTGGTTATAGAACATTTCGTTTTGGAATCCCGACGTAAGGAGCAAATACTAAGTCGCAGATTCAAATCCCAAAGCAGGACTTTGAGATTGGTGCTTTGAATGAGAGCGTAAAAACTTAGACCCAGTGGCGCAGTAGATGCTGGCATGAAAAAGATCCCTCACTGCTCAATGGCCAAAAGTGTCGAGGACAGGTATAAATTTGTAGCCTTTCAACGGGCAAATGTTCAAATGTTTTCATCCCAACAATTCCAAAAGGGATTTAAAACAGAGAAACAACCAATCTTCAAGAGCCGGAGTGAAGAAGACACACTGGACGTCTCAGGAAGCTGTATCATGATTTCAAAACTATTTGGAAAAAGTATATATAAACAATATTTAATTGAACCAAACCGTATCTAGATTTGATAAAAATGCAATACACAATGTCAAAGTCACAAAGTTACACATGAATAAAAGGCATGAAGAAGGACTTCTGAATTATTTTCACAGGATGATATATGCAGACGTATTTACAACAACTCTTATGGTCCCATATAGTAATCATAGGAACATAGATGAACTGTTTTAAGGAATAACTGTCTAATTTTTTGGATTCATGATGTGATCAATCGAGTGGCTTGCGTGATAATTTGCATAAACGCCGAAGGCGTTTATGCATAAAATTATCACGCAAGCCAATCGATTGATCATGGTCATGAATCCAAAAAATCTGACAGTTATTCCTTATATTTACATGCTCCTGATTCTGCAAATTCCCGTGCTAATAGCCCCGCTTCTGTCTCTATTTGTAACGCCCCGCACATGATTTTTTTTAACCGCACCTATCGATGAACCAGTAGATTTATGTAGAAATAAAGTATTTTTACAATTTGTAATTTTATTTCGGACAAAGACATTGGAAATGTAAATATTATTAGATCAAAACTCAAATTAAATAATATGTAGTGAAATTGATTGATGTGTTCACAAGATGGGCCCTTTGTCTGCTCATGAGGCAGGCCTTACCATGCTTACTACGTACCATAATTTTAAAAGACAGGGTTTGTAAATACCACTGAAACACTCTTAATTAGTCATGGTAAATTTTATTAACGAAATGTTTCAAGAATGTAGGATTCTAATAAGCAAACGGCATAAGGTTGATATGTCGCAGTTGTTTTACAATATGAGCTAACCCTCTGTGACCACATATTGTGGGCGTCACTTTGTTTCCAACAAACGCTTCAAAATCACAATTTAGAACAAAATCTGCCGTTTTGATAAAAACAGATTTTAATGAAATTGTATTTTATAAAAGTTGATAGACATTAAAAAAAAATATTTGAATTATCTTATTAAAAGAACTTTTCAGTTGGGGCAATTTAACTGGGTCGGTTGCATGAGGGGAAACAAAGGAATTTTTTATTTTGGCCTAAATATGCATTTTTACGATATTCCAAACATGTCTTACTCTGCAAGTCTTGTACTGAGCTCTCCTGAGTCATGTGTGTCAAACCAGCCAATCTCCTGCCGCATCACATTGCGGAAGAATGAGATTCGGATTCTGTGGCACTGTCGTTCTGCGGCAGTCACCCAACCAACCACCTGACCATATCCTAGCACCAGTACACCACAACCAATGGCTGCAAAGAAAAAAGACTCCATTTGAAATTCAATAATCTATTTCAAATTTCTGGACAAAAATGATTTATTTGTCCTTACTTATAATTTTTTTTTGATATATAAATGTGCATCTCAAATGTGAAATTTTCACATAACATAAATGTAAATACATGTACTTTCCATCCTTTAAAACATTATATCATTTGCATTTTCTTTAGAATAGTACATCATTTCCTTTTTATCTATGAACTAACTTTTCTACTGAATTATCCTCTTATCTAACGGGATCAAATATACATGCATAATGTTCCAATTATTTCATAAGTAACACTTTTAAGTATATTTGATTTTTACTTACCAATATAATAAACAGCAAATTCTGTCATGGTATCCAACAAATCATACTGAATTGAATTGTTGTAAATTGAGAAGTCTGTTATATTGTAATACGTTGTCAAGTTTGGCAAATGTGGTCTAAAAACAAACACAATGGTTCAGTTATGGAGATAAAACCGGAAATGAGCGAAAGTGAACAGATAAAAAAAAGTCATAAAAATTGCATTAAAACACTCTCCAAAGTGACTAACTGAATGTAAAGGAAGTGTGACTTTCAGCTAAAAAAACAGAACATTTCTTTATTTACTTAGAACTACAGAAGAATTTGTGCAATGCAATGCTTCACAGAGTTATCTTTTAGACTTAGTGCACACGTACTCCCTGCAGTGACACCTAAAGTTCAACATTCAGGCCTGTATGAATATACTCACTGCCAGGCCTGTATGAATATACTCACTGCCAGGCCTGTATGAATATACTCACTGCCAGGCCTGTATGAATATACTCACTGCAGAATTTTGGGATCCTTGATAATACTTTCTACACTCAGCCCTTGGGATTGTAAGTAGGTAGAATTCAAGCTCATCAGGAAAAACCGCAGTTTTCCCGACTCCACGAAGGTGTCAATCATATTCCCAAACACGATAATCATACAGGGCAGGGCGGCGCCATGACAGAGGGCACAGAACGAACCCAGAAACATCAAGAACACATCCAAACAGTCTGCATATTTAAACTAAAGAAAAGGAAAAAAATGCATTAGTTTTTATGTAAATACAGCTTTAATATCTTTTCCCATGTAAAAAAAATTTAAAAATTCAATTCTATGTAAGTGTCTTTTGGTTGTTTACAATTTTGTCTAAAAATCTTACAACATCATAAGCTGATGAAAACCCACCCCCATCCCTTTTTCCACTGACTGTTGATCTTATATACAGAACTGATTTCTAATGTTTTATCAAAAATCAAAATATCATCACTTTTTCTTTTATAATTATAGGTATTTGTATTTTACTGATTCTTACCTATGTACATGTGACCTTAGTTTTTAAGTTACAAGATGCTTAAATTTATATTTCCATATTGGACTTCTGCTAGAACATTTGAGTTCCCACTTACTATTTCACAGGTGCCGACCATTTTCTGGGGTTCTTTCTTCTCTTTTTCTTTCTCGTCATCTTTTCCCGTTTTAATTTCCACTTTGTCCATGTCGACTGTGGATGCTGTTGCTGGGCGGCCATTAACGGCTGGCTCTCCCTCCCCTTCAGAATCTACAACAAAAGTTTCATCTAATAATTAAAACATCAATGATGACATAATTCAAACAGATTTCATGGGATGATTACGGTAGAAACTGAGATATTTAAAATGTCTCTTTGGTGTAGTGTGAAAATTGTCAATTTCTTCAAGATTCACAATGGTCAAAAATACCTATCTTGGTCTTTCACAATCATGAATGATGAATTTTGTAAGGGGATTTCAAGCCTATCAAAATCTGCAAGTACCCAGTACTTTTACCCAGCTGAAATCATGATCGTACCAGCCAAAATATTTGATGGAGAAAAATTTGATAACACATTTACACAACTAAAATCACTTCCACAAGGTACCTTGACCAAACTGTTATAAGTACAAACTGTTTCTAATCTTTTTGAAAGTCCTGGGATTTACACATACATGTATACTGAATCTTTTCGAATTCTTTTTAATGCATGGGCTTCAGCTTTATAAATGATTGTATGAATTATTTTTTTACATTATACCTTTACAATAAAGACTGTGAGCATGAATACAGACCAGCTTAGGTTTATAACCTAATTATTCCTAATTCCTAAGAATAAGTATTTACTTCATAAGGATATCCACTCCTCAGCCAGAAAGGATAACTCTTAAATTTATTATTTAATTACAAAAGTTTCAAAATGAATCATGAAACTGAATTTTTTCTTGCAACAATTTTCATTTTGTAGCATCTGAATGGATCCAAAGTTCTTTGAAGTCTTAGAAATGGTCTTGTAAAAAGTTGACATTTGTACCCCATAATAGTACAAAAATAAATACATTTTTTAGAGAAATCAAATTTTCTTTAATCTAACATTAGAAACCAATGTTTATTAGCATGATATGCAATTAGAAGTGATCTGTAATGCTTTCTCAATGATAAAAAAAGTTTTTTACAGTATGTATTATATAGCAATTGAAGTAAATAGAAGAACATGACTAAAGAACCATATAGGTATTTTTTTTAAAAAAAATGCAATTTTCTCCAGATGCCTGGATAACTGTAGTTCTTGATCCTAAAATATATTTGTTGATCGATTTTCAATAGGAAAATGCATAGCTGGAGTTTTTATTTGCATTTCATAAAAATTTATTTGAGATTTGATCATTTACAACTGTATAATATGATTAAATTTAATGCTGAACTTTGAAGAATTACCGCGGACAAATACATGTTACTTTGAAAATTCAGAGACATTTTTGTGAGCATTTTCAATTACTCAACTCCCAATTTTCAGAATCTGAGGATTGGACTACCTTGAGCTAAAATTCAAAAATATGCAAATTAATGCTAAAAATAAATATGTTCTAACCATTGATAAATAATAAAAATTTTGATATATAATAACATTTATCAAGAATCAGGCACCCTCTATCTCTTTCATTTAATTCATCTTGAAAGAGGCGTCGACAACATGAATGACATATTCTGCATTGTTATAAAAGAGGGGTTAAAAAAAGGTGGAATAAATAAAAGAATTACTTCTATCGTTAAAGTATTTAACGCCCCTTGATCGTCAAAACTAAGCGGGAGAAAAGTCATTACCATATTTAGTCATGTGACCGAATTCTTCTTACATTCAGTGCATTCAATATCTAGTACTATGACCTAGAGTTTAAATTCCGGGACAAGAGCCTAGTAGACATGTGTGCATTGTGTAAGATTGCACCATATTATACAATCATTGTATTGAATTGTTTTATTTTGAATTATCATGTTCTTTTAAAGGAAATTTAGGATTCTAATTAATAAAACTATAATACCAGGTTTCATACAGCTTTAAAAGCACTTTTGCAGCACTTTTAAAATCTTTTTTCAAGCACTTTTAGGAAATTCCATCAAGCAAATACAAAAAAAATGACAAACTAGATCTATATATATGGAATTTTTAAAAAAAAATTCTTTAGCTTATTTCACCTGTTTTTCCCTTTTGAAACTTAAACAATTAAAATACTGAATGAATTAAATTTTTATAATAAAAACACTCAAACCTCTGACAGAATTTTTCATTTCCTGTATTTCACCTGAACATTCTTCATATTATCGGGGATTCCAGTCTTAAACAAAATTAAATGTAAGATATGGCAGACCCTATTCCCTGTGTGTATTGATTCTTTTCCATGAACATACCTGTGTGTCTAAGAAGTTCAACTACACACCAATACACTTACAGAGACAGAGAAAGTCTACTGAATGTTCACTATCACCTTAATGTTTTCAGGGAACAAATACATGTATTCTGTACATACATGTAGTCATCATCATATACATGTACATATGCAAAAAAGATACATAAATTGGTATTGTGTGTTTGTGTGTGTGTGAGAGAGAGAGAGGGGGGGGAGAGAGAGAGAGAGAGAGAGAGAGAGCAATAGGAACAACAGTAAGTGGAAGAACTAGAGCCCAGCTCGTTGCAGAGCAACGAATAGGTCTTCCGTTGGAGCAGTGACCTTGAGTCAAGGTCATGCCATATTCTAAGATGATTAATAATCTTTTAAGGGACTATCAACTTGCAATGCTTCGCCAGTAGAAAGACAATAAAATAATGTACACTTTCTCTTTCGTGACCTTGAACTTGTCCAGATGACCTTGCATCAAGCCATGACACACTCTGGCTATGACGCAAACCTATCTGTGTTACCGACTTGACAAGTTAACACCTGTTCTTTCAGACCACACATCCAGTAAAAGCATCTTGTTCTTAGTGACCTTAAACTTGAGTCAAGGCCATGACACAGTCTGTATGATACCAACAATACCCATTCAGAGTGTTTCCAACTTGACAAGTTTACACATGTTTTTTTTCATTTCGTTTCCATATAATTGTAATTTATTACTTTTAACTCGCTGGCTTCAAATTTTATTGTAAATATGTTTTATGTCCAATTTCGATATTGAAAAACGTCGGTGTCCTTGAGTACGTGTACAAGGTGCATTACGTTACCCTATCACATCATGTTTTATAACGCAGACCATACATGTTAAAAAAACCATTTTATTCATCAAAAATCTCTGCTTAATTATCTTTGCCGATTTCTTACAGAACTAGAGTGTTCCCAGGAACGCATGGTTTTAGCTTCAATAAAGATGTAACTAAGTCTAAAAGTTATCAGCAATTTATTTGCTACGGCATTGAATATAGTTCATGCCAAAAAAAAAAAAAAATCCAGGGACAGTAAGACTGTGATAGAATCTAACAATCAAATAGAAATGCAAATCCTTAACCCCTGAAAGCTAAAATGGATATTAATGAAATTTGAATAAAGGAGATGGGTGAATATGACGAGCGATAAGCCTATAGTGTGACAAACATGAAGATGAAAAATTAAATTTCAATTATATCAAAATTTTCCTTGATATTTCGTCTAACATTAAAATATACTTTATATAAAATCTCTATAATTTGCAAAAATCCCTAAAAGATTGAAATTATTTGCCTGGGAAATATTAGACACACACTAAAGCGGGCAAAAAGAGTCATTTTCTCATACTATAATGCTATTTTTCGATATGAGTGGGTCTTCGCTCCACCTTTTTGAAAGTTAATCCTCAAAGTTTGCATAAAAATATATATTTTTTGGTTACCAAAAATATGGAGCAATGACCCACTATACCTTAAAAATATACTTTTATGACATAACATTCGCATCTTTTCGAGAAATACTTGAAGTCCATTAAGTCAAGGGTCATATCACAATTAAACATGATTTAAATGCCACTCTTCATCAGGACTTGTGTAGTCTAGTGGTTAGCGTGCTAGTCTCGAAAGAAAATAATACTCAGGATTTTTATTGCCAGGGTTCGAACCCCATGAATACCACATATTTATTTTTTTAATAAAAGAATAAATTTTGCCGAGAAATTTTTCCTCAGAAAAGTTTTGTTTATCGTAATTTCATAAATTTCAATAATGAGAACTTTACTCTAAATACTAAATTCACAAACTGAACATGATTTTTTATATATCTGAAGCTATAGGCTTTTTGCACGCTATGTTCACCCATCTCCTTTATTATAAATAATTATATATAAATTATTTAAGTATGTGATTTCAACAATCCTTCGAAAGAGGCTTCAGTCTATCATATCAGCAATTGTCAGTCTACACCATCCATTTTGGAATACCGATCCCGTTGTATTTTCATAGTACTTAAATTTCAGTTTTTGTGGTTTCCTTTATTTCATACAGTGTCAAAATACATTGTCATGGGCTCATAAACATGTATAACTGTTAATTATCAAACCCTGCCTCTGTAATTTCAAAAGACATAAGTTAAATTTAACCTTCCGCAGTATATTTTACAAAATAGGTCAAAGGTCAAGTGGACTGTAACGCTAGTATTATGACAAACAGTGCACATTCTAAATGGCATAGACTTACCTCATAAATATCAAAATGAAGTTGTATATCGGCATTATTGGTTATTTTGAAAAGTAGGTCAAAGGTCAAGTTCAAGGATATCTAGATCGGAAGCCATGGAAAAATACAAAAGCCATAGTGTCAAGCTATATGTGCAAATTATCAAATCCATACTTCTTACAATTCTCGAGATATAAGGTGTGACAGACGGACGGACAGCAAGACAGACGCCAGGTAAATTGATCGCTAAGTGCTGCTCTACTCTGCAGGCGACACAAAAATGTTTGTTTGATTGTCTCTTTGTTGTTTAACGTCCCTTGAGCTGCCAGCATTTGCCAGTGGAGGGCTGCAAATTCAGACCTATACTCGACACTCAAGGCCATTGAGCAGTGGGGGATTTTTTTCATGTCGGCACCTACTGCTACACGGGACCTCGGTTTATACGGCCTCATCCGAAGGACCACACTCCACGTTCTGTAGTGAAATTGTTTGTTTGTTTGTGTGTTAACGTTCCCGTCGAGATTTTTCACTCATATACATGTATGGAAACGCCACCACTTGCCGGTGGAGGGCTGCAAATTCAGACCTATACTCGACACTCAAGGCCATTGAGCAGTGAGGGATCTCTT